CCCTCTGTCAGCCGGGCCTTAAACCGCGACTGGTCATAAGGTAAGTAAGTTAAGTAAGTACCATAACGAACTGACCTGAACAGAGTTGCCTGACTATAGATATGATTGGTTGGAGATTACGATATCGGAACGTCGCATTCAACATCGGGTCGCCGTTGTGCGGAAAGTACGTCGATACGATATCGTGTGGAGTCGAGGTCCAAAATGATGCGGTCGCTGCTGTCCATTTCCGTTCTTCTGAAGGAAGATGTGGTCGTGCGTCGATGCGTCAGTGTGGTCAGGGCACGCGACTAGACAAGGCTTAAAGTGTATCGAAAGAAGATAAAACGGTAAAAGCTCCAAAATATTGTAGGCACAGTAGTATTTCTTACAGCGATATCAGGCCTCGCCCCGTGTCCCAAAACATGTCTCGGACGGACTAGTAAGTATAGAGTCCCCGTATTGCGCCGGTGCCGGTCGAGCTCGAGCCTCAGCGCAACACTGCGCAGCAGCGCTGAAATACGAGTCGCTCTAAACGCTCTTTTCTCGGTCACCCGATTGGGCCGATTGGTCACCACCTGCACCGGCATCAGCACCAGCACTAGCTCCAGTACCGCCTTTAGTTTTACACAATTCAAATGAAATAACCTGCAGATTTCAGAGAACAACGCTCTCCCCCTCCGGCAGAGAGAGGCCCGACGCATCCTCTGCCCGTGCCTGACTCCAGGGAATGAGTAGGACCGCCACCAGACATGTTAGGACCTCACACAGGCTGTCCGCGCTCGAGTAATTTTCCACGGTTTCTTCCAGTTTTCTGGTGTGAGTGCGTCGGTTTTAGAGATGCTGGTCAGGTAAACAGTCGGCCAGAGGCAGCGCCATGCCAAGTGCGGAGCGCTTTGTGAGGACTCGCACGGCGCCGCCGGCGTTCCGCGAAAAACTTCCAAGCACGACGGCTCAGCGTACGGGCGTTCCGAGGCGTCCGGATCATGCTCCACAGGGCAACGTCGACCACGCACAAACGCCTTGCCAGGTCACTGAATCACCCGTCCTCGACGTCACACTCTAAACACAGCAGAAGATGAGCGACCAGTCTAGCAGAGGTTAGGATGCGTGTCGTTAGATTTCAAACAGATTAGAACGGGCCTATGCATCTAGCACCTTGGTATACCACCTATACCAAAGTTTATTACGACAGTTGAGTCATTATCATTGAGTTGAAATAGTACCAATGCAATATGTCCGCACACTAACCTAAACAACGACACCGGGGCGGTTTAGAAGATTGTATAAACTTACTTTTCCGAAGCCAAACTTTGCAGAAGCACTTTTTCACACGCGATTACCACTCCGGTTTACTATGGACCGAATTTTTCTTTGCAAATTCGACAAAACTTGATTTATAATCACACATCCACTTGCGACAAAACATGGTATGGTGACCGGCGTCCGGCGTACTGCTTTGTTTAGGGACAGCGCTACGCCACGCCACCTCCTCAGTGCCACCTTCTTCTTGGAGTGTGTCCGAATTCTCGAATGTGTCGACACTTTGCGATTCGTGTCGACACAAATTTGGTAAGGGGACGGGCTGGTCAGCAGGGAGGGCAACCTGCAGCCATCCCTCGCGAAAGGACGTCGCGGTCCGCGGTCGTCCGCGGGGGTAGTCGCGAACCGCGACAAACTTAAGTCGTCGATA